GGTCTGAAAATTGTATTTTTGGAATCTACGGTCAATAGGCTTTCTGTTGATGCCTCGTTCTTGCATAACTAGAGAGTCCGTGGACATAAAAAGCAAGTTTTTCCAGCTGCATGCGTAATGGAAGACGTGAAAGTTAATATTATGCGCTTTCGAATTTTATGTTCTATTGAATTCCAAGGCTCCTGTAGCAGAGACTTGAATTTGGGCTGGTATGAAAATTGTATTTTTGGAATCTATCACCAATAGGCTTTCTGTCGATGCCTTACTCGTGCATCACTAGACTTGTCCGTGGAGGTAAACGGCAGATTTTCCCAGCTGTGTAATCGAAAAAAACGTGAAAGTTAATATTATGCTGTTTCGAACCTTGTGTTCTATTGAATTTCAAGGCCCCTGTACCAAAATCCTGAATTTGGCACGGTCTGAAAATTGTATTTTTGGAATCTACGGTCAATAGGCTTTCTGTTGATGCCTCGTTCTTGCATAACTAGAGAGTCCGTGGACATAAAAAGCAAGTTTTTCCAGCTGCATGCGTAATGGAAGACGTGAAAGTTAATATTATGCGCTTTCGAATTTTATGTTCTATTGAATTCCAAGGCTCCTGTAGCAGAGACTTGAATTTGGGCTGGTATGAAAATTGTATTTTTGGAATCTATCACCAATAGGCTTTCTGTCGATGACTTACTCGTGCATCACTAGACTTGTCCGTGGAGGTAAACGGCAGGTTTTCGCAGCTGTGTAATCGAAAAAAACGTGAAAGTTAATATTATGCTGTTTCGAACCTTGTGTTCTATTGAATTTCAAGGCCCCTGTAGCAAAATCCTGAATTTGGCACGCTCTGAAAATTGTATTTTTGGAATCTACGGTCAATAGGCTTTCTGTTGATGCCTCGCTCTTGCATAACTAGAGAGTCCGTGGACATAAAAAGCAAGTTTTCCAGCTGCACGTGTAATCGAAAAAGACGTGAAAGTTAATATTATGCGCTTTCGAACCTTATGTTCTATTGAATTTCAAGGCTCGTGTAGCAGAGACTTGAATTTGGGCTGGTATGAAAATTGTATTTTTGGAATCTATCACCAATAGGCTTTCTGTCGATGACTTACTCGTGCATCACTAGACTTGTCCGTGGAGGTAAACGGCAGGTTTTCGCAGCTGTGTAATCGAAAAAAACGTGAAAGTTAATATTATGCTGTTTCGAACCTTGTGTTCTATTGAATTTCAAGGCTCCTGTAGGAAAAACTAGAATCTGGCACGGTCTGAAAATTGTATTTTTGGAATCTACGTGCAATAGGCTTTCTGTTGATGCCTTATTCTTGCATAACTAGAGAGTTCGTGGACATAAAAAGCAAGTTTTTCCAGCTGCATGTGTAAGCGAAAAAAACGTGAAAGTTAATATTATGCTGTTTCGAACCTTATGTTCTATTGAATTTCAAGGCTCCTGTAGGAAAAACTAGAATTTGGCACGGTTTGAAAATTCTATTTTTGGAATTTAAGGACAATAGGCGTTCTGCTGATGCCTTATTCTTGCATAACTAGAGAGTTGGTGGACATAAATAGCAAGTTTTTCCAGCTGCATGTGTAAGCGAAAAAAACGTGAAAGTTAATATTATGCTGTTTCGAACCTTATGTTCTATTGAATTTCAAGGCTCCTGTAGGAAAAACTAGAATTTGGCACGGTCTTAACATTGTATTTTTGGCATCTACGGTCAATAGGCTTTCCGTTGAAGCCTTATTCTTGCATAACTAGAGAGTTCGTGGACATAAAAAGCAAGTTTTATCAGCTGCATGTGTAAGCGAAAAAAACGTGAAAGTTAATATTATGCTGTTTCGAACCTTATGTTCTATTGAATTTCAAGGCTCCTGTAGGAAAAACTAGAATTTGGCACGGTCTGAAAATTCTATTTTTGGAATCTAAGGACAATAGGCTTTCTGTTGATGCCTTATTCTTGCATAACTAGAGAGTTCGTGGACATAAAAAGCAAGTTTTTCCAGCTGCATGTGTAAGCGAAAAAAACGTGAAAGTTAATATTATGCTGTTTCGAACCTTATGTTCTATTGAATTTCAAGGCTCCTGTAGGAAAAACTAGAATTTGGCACGGTCTGAAAATTGTATTTTTGGAATCTACGGACAATAGGCTTTCTGTTGATGGCTTATTCTTGCATAACTAGAGAGTTCGTGGACATAAAAAGCAAGTTTTTCCAGCTGCATGTGTAAGCGAAAAAAACGTGAAAGTTAATATTATGCTGTTTCGAACCTTATGTTCTATTGAATTTCAAGGCCCCTGTAGCAAAAACTAGAATTTGGGCTGTTATGAAAGTTGTTGTTTTGGAATCTATGATCAATAGGGTTTCTGTCGATGCCTTACTTGTGCATCACTAGACTGGTTCGTGGACGTAAACGGCAGGTTTCTCCAGCTGTGTAAGCGAAAAAAACGTGAAAGTTAATATTATGCTGTTTCGAACCTTGTGTTCTATTGAATTTCAAGGCTCCTGAAGGAAAAATTATAATTTGGCACGGTCTGAAAATTGTATTTCTGGAATCTACAGTCAATAGGCTTTCTGTTGATGCCTTATTCTTGCATAACTTGAGAGTTCGTGGACATAAAAAGCAAGTTTTTCCAGCTGCATGTGTAAGCGAAAAAAACGTGAAAGTTAATATTATGCTATTTCGAACCTTATTTTCTATTGAATTTCAAGGCTCCTGTAGGAAAAACTAAAATTTTGCACGGTCTGAAAATTGTATTTTCGGAATCTATGGACAATAGGCTTTCTGTTGATGCCTTATTCTTGCATAACTAGAAAGTTCGTGGACATAAAAAGCAAGTTTTCCAGCTGCATTTGTAAGCGAGAAAAACGTCAAAGTTAATATTATGCTGTTTCGAACCTTATGTTCTATTGAATTTCAAAGCCCCTGTAGCAAAAACTAGAATTTGGGCTGGTATGAAAATTGTAGTTTTGAAATCTATGATCAGTAGGATTTCTGTCGATGCCTTACTCGTGCATCACTAGACTGGTCCGTGGACGTAAACGGCAGGTTTCTCCAGCTGTGTAAGCGGAAAAAACGTGAAAGTTAATATTATGCTGTTTCGAACCTTGAAGTTGTTCAAACAACTTGTGATCGTCCTGCAATTCAACAATTTGTCAACAAGTTGTAAGTGACAATCTTAATTATAATTGTAGCAACTTGCAATTGATAAAATAACAGCATCGTTACAACTTGTTGACAAGCTTGCTACAAGCCCGTTGCGAACACATCTTGTTGACAAGTTGTGAGATTTTTATGTGTGTAATGAGGTAGCCACGTGAACTTGTGGTTAGAGTTCGACAACTCTCCTCTGTAGCTCAGTTGGTTAGAGCGCTGCACCAGAATCGCAGGTTCGATTCGTGCTAGGGACCCAAAGTTGCATTGGAGTAACTTCAGAATACCCGGCTACTTAAAAACACACTTTTTATTCCGTGGCTATACATGGCTACGCGGCTATACGACTACATATATGGCTACCTAACTATGTATATATATATATATATATATATATATATATATACTAAACGCGTAAGCAAAGGGCTGAATCGTTGCCGTCAAACAGTGATTCTCAAGCTAATGAACGTGAATATGTTCTAAATGTTTTAGGGGAAAACAATTACCCAAAGCGTTTTCTTAATGATTGCCTGAGACCACCTGTTTGTAGGAACCAAAATAACTCCGAGGGTGATACCTCTGTTAAGGGTTTTGCAATAGTTCCATACATTCAAGGCGTCACAGAACCAATCAAGAGAATCTTAAGTAATTGTAATATTAAGGTTGCCTTAAAACCCTATTTGACTTTAGGCCATATTTTCGCAAAGCCAAAAGATCCTGTTGAAAAAAATCAGAAGACTCATGCTATATATTCTATACCATGCGGTGACTGCGACAAAGAGTATTTGTGTCAGTCTAAACGCCAGTTTGGTACACGGCTAAAAGAACATCAAAAGGCTGTTTCAACTTTAGACAAGGGAAAATCAGCTTTAGCCGAACATGTATGTTACACCAAACACGAGATTGCGTGGGAAAACTCTAAAGTAATTACCACAAACAGTCGCTATGGTCAAAGACTTTGCCTAGAAGCGTGGCATACAAATATGAATCATCATGTTTTGAATAGGGATGACGGTGCCTATTTGCCAGAGGAATATATGCATCTTCTTGGCAGGTGACGTCATCCCTTGGGTATTTAAGACACTAGACTGGAGTGTCGAAACGTTGGGTCTTGATTACAATTTGACTGGGCTTTGTAATAATTTATTTAAACTAGAGTAGCGAGCGAAACATGATTGATATACCTGGTTGCAGTGAACGAACAAACTTTATATTATCAGACTTGTTGCAAGGTTGTTCCAACAAGTCCGATACAGTCATGATATAACAATATTGTTACAATCTTGTGTCGCCAACCTTGTAACATTCTTGTTACATAATGATTGTCTCAAACGTGTTAGAGCAACCTTGTGACAAGTCTAATAATGCCATTAAGCTTGTTACAAGTTGTTAATAGCTTGTTCCAAACTTGTTCCAACAACTGGGAACAAGCAGTACGAAGACAACTGTCTTTTTTTTCAAACTTTTTTGGTACACGAATTTTTTTTATTTCAACTTTAATTTTCCCTATTGAAAACTCTCTGCAAGAATTTTTTTCAAACTTTTTTGGGAATGCGCGATTTTTATTTTTGCTTTCCTCCCCACCTCCCCCCCCCCTCCCTCTTTACTTTTCTAATGGTCCGCCCCTTAATATACTCAAATACTATGGCTGTACCACTGAGCTATACACAATTACTGGACGTACGCCAACACGTACTTTAAATTGATTCAGAATATCACTCGCAATGACGAGAATAAATTAAATCAAAAAGTCCAATCATACAAAAATCTAAATATATTTCATCTTACGTATACTGCAAGCTATGCTCGTTTACCAATCTATAAAATATGCCAAAAAATGGTCCGGTTTAGTTCAATACGGAGTAGAATAGTTTAGTTTATACTTTCCTCTAATCTTATAAAAATTAATCGCACTACTGTACTCTAGCTTATAATCTTTTTTCATTCATAGAAAACCAGCATGCGTTGCATCTTAACAGCCTTGTCTCAAGACTCTCAAGAACTTTCTGAAAAAGTCAGAGTTTTTTCTTGGCCATTTCTTGACGAACACATCGTCACCCATGGTAACCTTACTATTCCCTTGCAGTCCAAGAACCGTGCCCATTATCAGAAAATCGCTGTCAGTTGTTCCAGCGAATCTTGGACAGTCGCAAGTAGTTTTTTTCGCATACACGATGCGTGTTGTTTTCTTGGTAATCTTTTTCGTTTTGCTTTCTCGGTAGACATCAATGATGTCAAATGTGAGATGAAGCCATTGGTCTTTTTCGTCAATTAATCTTAATGTTCCTTTGAAACCTAAGGAAATATAATAGAATGTAAATTACGTATGGTATGGTATGGTATGGTATGGTATGGTATGGTATGGTATGGTATGGTATGGTATAAAAAATATATAGACTACTCTTTTAGACCATAGCCGATCGAAGGGAAGATGGCTGTGAAGCTCATTAGAATAACAATATAATTCATTATCTATGTTAGTCAACGTTTATTGATAAATATGGTCCTTCACCGTCCCGTGTGTATTGTATTTTTGCTAAATCCAGCAATACGTGACGTTGAAGGACCGGGTTTATGAATAAACATTGACTAACATAGACAATGAGTGATACTGTTATTCTATTAACGAGTTTCATAACCATCTTCCCTTGGATATGCTACTGTATGTTTAGGACTTACCGTAATCGTATCCTTTACATAGTTGTTCAACGACATAACTAGCGTTATCAGATGGCTTACATGAAGCACACTTGTCTAAAAATAGTAATTATTATTAATTATTAACAACCATCCATATTCGATCTTAATTGCTTAGTATTTAAAATCTGAGTAATAGGCAATTTTTTTGCCTAAATTTTAATTTTAGCGCCTAATATTCCCTCTGTACAAATTCCAAATTGATGTTTAGTCGGCAATCAATTATGGCATCAGTTGTCAATCAAAATATACACAATCTGTCAAACTGTAAATATAGTCTGGTAACTCGACTTAAAAAGTTTGACTTGCGAAGAGTCCAATGCAAACTCTCGCTTGCCAACTCTAATCAACTCTCATTGTCGTTTGACCGGGGCTTAAGCAATGAATATCTTTTAACTAAATTTGTACCTAAAAAGCATTTGCAAGTGTCATGTTCGCACGTGGCCAAATTCAAGCGACTGTTTGCTTCGGGACCATAGAATTTAGTACATTTGTCATCTACAAAACAATGAAACAGAATAATAATCAACGCTCTTCCGATCTATCTAAAAAGAAAACTTAACTGACGAAGTCAGCTCTAAACTGTTCTCCCTTTTATTGCTTACAAGAGGAAACCTAAACTTTTCAACCTGCCCGCGGTGTGGATATACACCCAGAGTAACATCAAAAACATTATAGACTAACTTTATTTATACTTGATAGCTCTATCAGTTCTAAACTGTTCTCCCTTTAGAGGTCCAAAAAAAATCATCTCTTATTGATCCGGTGTCACAACAGGAGGAAACCTACTAAACTAAACTAACTTAATTTATACTAGATAGCTTTACCAGTTCCAAACTGTTCTCCCTTGCGTTCTAAGAAGAGCTATCTCTTATTGATCCGGTGTTATACTACAGGAGGAAATATAAACTAAACTAACTTTATTTATATACTGGATAGCTCTATCAGTTCCAAACTGTTCTTCCTATTAAAGTCCAGTAAGGGTAATCTTTTATTCATTCAGAGTGACTCAGTGTTACTGGTTACTACAGGAGGAAATTTAAACTAAACTACCTTTATTTTTACTGGATAACTCTATTAGTTCTAAAGGTCCTGTACGAGTCATTCCTGATTGGTCCAGTGCTACTAAAAGAAGAATATACCTATATATCCAGAGTTAGATACGTGTTTCCTACTCACCTGGTTCATAATAGTCATACACTGTGACAGGTACAGGCTGAACAATGCCGACTTCAAAATCTCGTTTCAATTCCAGGTTGAAACATAGTTCGTGATCACTCGGTATTTTATCCACGTAAAGAACAGCATGTCGGTCTGAGATCTCGAATTTCGCAATGCCAGGCTGTACTTTGTCTCGGAGCTGTGGGAATTTAATGTTTTGATAAATAAACAGAATATTTATATTAGAATGTTGTGTTTTAGTGCAAGAAGCGTGAACAAGAAATGTAAAAAACCGTCAAAAATTTCGCCAGCTCAAAGTCGATAAAACAAAAGTCTGGAACAAGTTGTTATCATCTTGTAACAAGCTAAGGTTGATGAGGCCAATACAGGGTGTATAAAAAAAACTGAACGGATTTGAAATTGCTCTCAAATTCGCAAAACACCTACTTGTATCCGGTTTTTTATATATATAGCTTCTTTGGGTACTTATAATGTAAAATAATGAAAAAAAATTTTCGAACTCAAATTTTGTGAACCAGGGGGGTGTGTCTTTTCCAACAAACTAAAAATGGCTCACGCACAAAATTTAAAAGCTGCAATCATATTTTGAGTTAACAGATGGAAAATTTGTCGGGATTTTAATTACTGTACAAAATTTCAGACAATTTGGTTTAGTTTAAGC